TGGCTGGCTGGGCAGCCATGGGAGTTGAAGTCCACTCATCTTAAAGTAGCCAAGTTTGGACAACACTGATCTAGTGTATAAATCTGGTAAGAGATCTGGAAAAATTCTAGGCATTATATTAATTGATGACTTCATTTCAAATGAAATTCAGTGATGTGGGAAGTAGATCCTGCTATATCTTCTCATGGTGCCAAAAAGCACATATTGATTATGCCCAGGGGAAGACTTCCTCCTTCAGCCTTCACAATTACTGTGCCCAAATGTTCTAATTTTGTCCCCTTTGTGCACCAGCACTTATGGCCAATCAATTGTTGTATCACTGTCCATCATGCTTCAGGGATAGTCTCTTCTTATAGCCAAAAAGGCTAGCAAGGCTATAATACATTTCTGAATGAAAACTGTACATCAGAACGAAAGAAAGGTTTAAGTCATATTCAGGAAAGATGGCAAGGCCCATCTTGTTCACATGGCTGCAGAGGAAAGGAAGCATTCCACATTAATACACAAAAGGAAAACAACATTGCGGAGGATAGGATGAGAATGGGCACCTCTGGAAGGAAGGCTGTATTGGAAAGATGATCCATCACATGCTGGTTGGATTGAGATAATATTATGGAGAGATCAGTTATTGTTCATAATCCACCAGGAAGCTAAAGAAAGAAAAGAAAATATTTACAAACATTAAAGAGGCAATACAGATTATACTGTATTATAAAACATGAGTTCTGACCTCATAATCCACAGGTTTTAGACTTAAAATAAGCCTTATTCCACATAGATACAATGTGCTAAGCCATATTTGATTATGGCTTACAGCTGGGCTGTATAGTAGCACCGACCCTAAATCCATAGTGGAATAGGGACAACATCGGAGCTTTTTTATTTCTTCTAAGTGGAATGTGTATGTCTAAATTGCTCTATCTCTGATTCAGAGTCTTCCATAAAGGTCTGCCTATGCAGTCTGGGAGCTCAGCATGCTGCATAGAGCGGTTGGTATATGCCGTAAAAAGTATGACATTTTTAGAATATTATATTTTGACACCTACTGTTCTAAAACACCTTAGTGGGAATGGGAGAGGGAATAATATTGGATTCAGTGACTGACTAATAGGTCAGTCCTTAAATCAAAGTCACTTTTGCAACCAGTCTACCATTAGCAAGTTCAATCATAACATCTTAGAAGTGGAGAGGAAGGAATTTAATAAACAACCCTTGTTTAACCATTTGCTCCCCTCATAGTTTCTCATTTCCCTTCTTTTAATGATGTTAGATGTTTCATATCTATTTTACTTACCTGACTAGCTTAAGGACTATATTTCTGATATAGAAAAGATGGAAATTTTAATCTCATATACTTTTCCCCACTCTTTATTCCTAACAGTTATTTCCTATCAGTTTATGAAGTGACATTATTATTTCTTGCTATATCCCTTTTTCTCTGCACATACACAAGTCTTTAATCAATTGGTTTGTAATTTGCCACCTGTATTGCTTATGATAAGATTCATTTGGTAGAATTGTCATTATTTTCACTCTAAAAACACAAAAGATTACATATACTAAAAAAACCCACAGATTTTAAAAAAGTGCAACAAATTTCATTGCACTGATTAAATATACTTACTATACTTACAATAGTTTACATTTATTACAAATTTTATTCTAGTCTGATTGAAAGCAAAAATGTTATAGCCATTTATGTTGATTTTTTTTTCCCCCACTCTAAATAAATGGGAATCCAAGACTCCTTTTTTCCAATTACTACTCTGAAATTCAGATGAGTTAGGATGAGCTACCCCCAGGGTAAAACAAGGTGGATCAAACCACTTTTCTGTAGAGGAGTACAGAGACAGCCTTGAAGAAGTACTGCAGCAACCATTACAAAAACCACAGCTTAGCCCAGAAAGATAGGTGGGGATGACAAAGAAACTCAAGATTGATTTATTTTGACTCTTTGGTATAAGAGAGAGGGAGAGAGAAACTCTGTCAGGTTTTCAAGATTTTGTTATTATACCTTATAACAATAGAGTTCCATAGAGTTCTTATAGTATTTGTTTTCTGACCTGGCCTACCTTGAAAGGCTGACATTTCCAAATTGAGGATCTGGTTTTGATATTGGTTAAGCAGTCCTTGTACAACCATGACTTAGGGTAGCCCTCCACTATGGTTTAATATTACATGTACAAATCAAGCCTGTATAGGTTTTTCAACATATCATGGCTAAAAATTCTGGCTTGAAGAATTTTGTTTTTTTGGTGATGGGGGAGGGGTTTGATACCTGCTCTGTGGTATGAAACTGCGCAATTGTGACCATAGTCTGAAAATGTTGTTAATTCTTAAGATATGGCTATCAAACTGAGAGTTGTTACAATGTCAACGTTTGTCTTTTGCTCACCAGAAGAAACAGAAAATCAATTGTCTACTAAGCATTTCATGGAGAAAATCTATCTATGTGGTCGCTAACAGTCAATATGGACTTGATATGGCACATAATCAATGTATCACTAAGCATTATCTTACCTGGGAACAGCATAGTGGTCAAGAGCTCTGGAGCATCCAAAAGATCAGTGATGGCATGCTGGAACTTCTTACTATTATCTGAGTGTAGATGGCTAAAAACAAAAAAAGAAAAAAAATGAGAACAGAGTGTTCATGTGACTTGGGCAGTCTGCATATCTAAGGGCAACAAGTAGCGGGTTCTGTATAGTTGAATGTCTAGACTTTGCTTAATCTAGTAGGAATCTTTCCCAGGCAGATGCCTCTTTTTGCTCAATCAAAAATGATTATGTAAATAAGCTTTGTGGAATTTTACTTAGCCTTGATGTAAATTGTAGATAATTTTAAGGAATCACCTTCTCCAAGAAACTACATCTTGCCAGAATTCATAGAGGATGAAGCAGGTGTCACTCGCCAGTTTGTGGGCAGACACGCTGCAGGCAAAAAAGGGAAGACATGAGGAAAAAATATTACTATATTTCAGAAATTATGCTGCGTATATAGATAAGATGCCAGTGGCCACAACCAGCCTGACTCTTCCATCGTAACTCCCCCTCCTCAGCGATTCATGAATGAATTTTTTTACTGTGCTGTTCTCAAAGAAAAGATAATTATTTTCACTATTTTTTATTGTTCATTATTTTTAAATTATATTTCATTATTATTTTCATTATTTCTTTTTAAAGGAACATTTAGTATGTTATGGTAGTCGTGTTAATTACCCAGTCTACGTACAACAGAGGTCCCACCCCACCACGGTTTTCTCCAAACCCTCAGAATCAAATCCATACCAGCCCATGTTTGTCCTCACTGCAGTTGACCTTGGAACACTGAGCTCCAATTATTCTGCTTGAAAACTCTCACTGGGGCAGTTTCCGTTTTGCCACAACTGAGCCAGAACTTCAGTGCAGAATGGCATGGAATCACAGGGGCATGAAACTGATACAAAGGTGCTGCAAATGCTGCGTAGGGAGGTATAACAGAATTTTTATCTGATAGGCTGCACTTCACTTGGACTCTAAGAAAAGGAGTAGACATAATACCATTCTTCATTAACAGGAATCGATTATCCTGAAACTTAACTTAGTATGACCCATTAAAGTAGCATGTCAGAGTAGTTATACTTGTCACAAGACTATTGCTAAAAATGCTAGCCCTCAAGTTGCTCCCTGTCTCCTGATAATGTTTAGTCATTTGTCTTATTGTTTCCTGGAGAGTGGCAGTCAGTGATTTGGATAAACACAGAGTTTGATGTCCCAGGAGACTGGTCAATGTACCTGAACATGGGAAAGGGCTGAAGGAACAGAACTTAATGCTGAACTGGTGTTTTGTGTGGTAGCTTGATGTTGAGTACAGATACAATTTTCCTCAGAAGTTATACATTTTATTTATTTATTCAGTTTGGATGCTACCTGACTCCAGCCGACTCTGGGCAGCTCACAGCATACACAAAATTAACCAAAACAAGTATAAAAATAACTACAAAATAATCACAAGATAACAACTCAACAACAAAGCAAACATAATTTCATTCAGTATGCTGATCTCTGGTTTATCAGTGATGATGCATAAATAAACTTGGGATCTCATCATTTTCATACAGTATGCCTGAATTCAGCATTTAATTTAGTTCCTTCAAAATGTGTAGAGACTCTGAGTTCCAGAATTTGTTTGGTCCTGCAGTTGGCTACTTGTAGTCTGAACATGTTTAGTGAAACCAGATTGGAAAGGGCTGCCTTAATTTATCTAGCTTTGCATTTTTACATATTCCAATAAACTATAAAGGTGGGTTATTATTCCAACTTGAAATCAATTTTATTTCCTCCTTTTCAAAGTGTTTTTTTTTTAATGGTACCAAATGAAGCATTAATTAATTTGATTCTTTCTTGCTCTTCCCGTAAAGACACTCTATTTCAATAATTTGCAGCTACATTTCAGGCAGTTACTAGCATGTTTCAATTACCAAGAATACTTTTGAATAGCTGGTATAATGATAGCGCTAGGAAGAGCAGGATGGGACTGAACTCAGAGTCACATGAGCACAGCATTATGAACCATTTCATTTGTTTTCTGAATTTCTGTTTCATCTATACAGAAAAAGAAGCAAGAGTATTTGTAAAGAGTCTGCCTCTTGTATTTCAGTATCTATCTACTTTATGGTGCTGTTTGCTGGAAAGTGAAGTTCATGGATATCAGGGTTAGGGTATAAAACAACACTGCATAAACCTTTTTCTGATTACTGAGAGAAAAGTGAGGTTCATAATGCTGAAGAAAGAGAGTCCAACAGAAACCTTGCTTCCCTTTCTTAAACACATATCTCATCAAAACAACCTATAAAAATCAATGTCTTGGAGACTTACTGTAGACAACTGCTCTGTCCAGCTGTGATTTCTGTGTAGGTTTGGAGAATTTGGCAGAATGCCAGTAATCCACTTTCTGCCACTGAGATCTGTCTCTGTGCCACCAAGATGTGCTGCAAAAATGGGAAAGAGATAGTAAAAGGGGAGAAAGTTTGCAACTTCTATTAATATAGATTTAGAAATGCTTTGCAAGTCAGAGATAACACTAAAGGCACTTCTACACACCCACTAAAAGCAAATGTTCTTGATCCCCACCCAGCCTCACAATCATATTTTACTAGGATCATCTCTGGCTGCCATATTGGCCAGCTGTTCCCACCTCTCCTCAGATTCCAATGGAAGACTCCCCAAATGGGAGTCCCATCTAGAACTCTCCCCCCTTGCCCAGTCTACTGCACTGTCTCAATGGGGGTGGGGTGGGGGCAGAGTTATCCACTTCGGAAATAACAGAACTGCTACTAGAATTGATCAGGAAAGATGGGGAGGGGGGGAAGCACTAAGACACCTAGAGCTTTTATTTCCGGAGAGAGGGAAGAAATTGCAGGAACAGGACATAGGACCAAGGTGGGAACCATTTGCCCTGCAATTCCAAAGGAAATGCTGTGAAAAGGCATCAGGATTAGGACTCTTGGACAAAGTAGCTACAGTTTTGAAAGCTGGGACAGAGTGCATACACATTTTCCCATCTTTGCCAAACTGTTATATGAAAGCTTCAGCTTCTAAACCACCTGCTCTGTGTTGATCTAATCTATAGTAGCCTTGTCTTTTATTCCTTAAGGTTGCGGAATCTTTTTCTTTTATGGCCACTAATATATGAATTATTTCTCACATTACATTTGGAATTGCCTTGTTTGTAGTGCTACCTCAGTGCACAATCAGATAACAAAAAGCAGGGTCCAGAAACTTACAGAATCTGTTCCTTTGCAGACTGTATTATATTTCAAAGGTTCCAGCCTTGGACTCTGGATGGACAAAAATACAGAATTACTACCAAAGGAAATAAGTTGAAGAGAGTGGTTGAGGTATATAATTGATTTCACACAACTGTCCTCTTCACTAGGCATTCACAGTCATTTCAGAGCAGCCTCACTCATCTTGCTGCCCTTCCAATAGCCTGGCCATGCTGGCTAAGTAGTTTAGGAGTCACAGTCTTCTCACATCTGGGGAACACCAGCTTGGGAAAGGCTAAGCCAGTATTGTCCAAACTTGGCCACTTTAAGATGAGTGGACTTCAACTCCCAGAATTCCCATGGCTGGCTGGGGAATTCTGGGAGTT